TGTCGAAAAATTCAACAACTTCTGCTGTTGAGGCCATTGTTGCGTCAGAGTTTGCATAATGAAAATAATCTGAAAAAAAATATTTTTAATTTAATTACTTTTACAGCTATTGCACCTGCAAGTATTTCACCAAAAGACATTTCCTATTTGCTTACAACAGACTTTGTTAACCTTTATACAATTGTAGTGTGGCTCACGGTGTCCACTATTGTAATATCAATTATAAATTTAATGTAGTAATAAACAGCACTTGGCAGATACAGGTTGTCTCATTTAATAACGTCATTACATGGCGACCTTGAGAGGCGAGCTGGCCACCGATAGTAATAAACTCATAATAAATATAAGACCTAATAAATACACACAATATTAAATTTAATTATTACCAAAATGAGTGCCATAAAAAGTTTTGGGAACAAGTTGTAAATAAATATTTATAAAATAAAGTAAAAAATATAAAATAATGAGGCAAAGAGACAGCTAAGAAGACTTGAGACGAGAAAAGAGGATTCCTTTTTAATAGGATAAGGGTGACAAACGAGCACACAGTTCACCTGATGGAAGGTGGTTGCTGTGGCCCATAGATATTTATATCTATCCTCGATTACTAATCAAAATGCAGATGCGTTGTCACCCGTGAGGACTAAAATGGAATGCCTCATTTCCAGTAAAAAGGGTCTCCGATTCTCTACACTCACCATACGAAACAACAGCATTAAGCTGCTATTTTACGCTGGTATTCTGTGAAAGTGTGGTCCTTCCCTGGTCGAGCCGAACCATTCGTGCTACAACTAAACCACTAATATAGCTGCAGCATGGCTCTACCGCTTAAAAAATTGATGACAGAGATTACTTTTTTTTACTCAGGTTAAAAAGAATATTGGTTGAGAAGATATAAATTGAAGTACACAGTGGTATTCACATAGGGAATTTTAACATTATCAAACCAACCGTGGAGTAACAAATAAGAACACAATTATAAGTTATGTTTCTAAAAAATTCTCGAGAATTTAATCAAGTGATCAGTTTTAGGAGAACTGAATTTTTGTGTTTTATCTATAAGAAAACATGTTATAGATGGAAAACTATTAACACAAAGGAAGTGCTACTTGTATATTCATATCCTTATTATTTAAGCTTCATTATTTTGATATCAATGTGTAATAAAAAGTAAATTATGTGATTTATTACATAATATTTTTTTAAAGTCGAAGATTATTTTATGGTATATTTTAAGTGGCTTAGAATATTCCATAAAGAAATACAATTTTGTTTCTAAAATTTGTAAACCATTTCACATTTTGAATAACTCCCAGATCTAGGTACAATTTAAATTAGAAAAGTTAAGTTCCATCTGTATAGGATTTCTCTGTACAAAACATTAATTTGATATAGTAATTAATTGTAATTCTATACCTGATTTACCTAGTATTAGCAAAGATATTAGTAAAAAAATGTAATATATACCATTTTTATTCAAAATTTCCGATAGGTCTTTATTTCTTGACAGGCATTGGGCTTTAACAAGTCTGAGAAACTGATGCCCAATTTCACCGACATCCCCTAAACAATCACATAGTTAGACGACCGCTAAGCTAAAAGGTCCCCTAAACCAACCCATAACTAAAATTTGTTTTCACGAACGCAACGGACTTATAGCTAGGGGACCCTTCCTTATGTGACCGATTTTTTACGACGATAGTGCTTGATACCCAGTTGTAGTTACCGGTTTTATCGGAAATGATATATATTAATACAAAAAATACGTATTCATGTATTATTTTAATGAAGAAATTAGTTCTTTCATATTTTGACTGATATATGTTTTCATTTTGTTAATATTTTAATAAAAATATCATATTTTTAGTTTATGTTTGACAAGTCACCGTATTTGACACTCAGCTTTATCTGTGCATTGTAGTGTTGCCAATTTAGCGACTTTGTCCCTAGAAATGACGACTTTTGCTTAAGCCTTAGCGACTAAAAAAAAGTTTTGACGACAAAAATAGTTTAGCGACTTATCTAGCGACTTTTGTAGTAGGTATAAATTAAATCAGTTCTAGAGTCATTATTGGATAAATTTTTAGTCAACTCGATACAGTGCCAAGAGATACAATAAGGAAAACAAACGCACCAAACTTTATTAAATTAAAGTCTCTTTAAAAAACATATTCAAATCAAAACATTTAAATTTTCTTTCAAATCTAAGTTTTACATTAACCTACTTACCTACTTACCTATATCAGATTTTAATTCATAAATACTATTTAATATCGCATGTAGCCGAGTTGGCAACACTGCTCAATAGCTCGATTCTTTCATTGGTTGGCGGTCGGTCACGGGCACACGGGGGAATCCCCGGACATTATGTTTTGTATACTGCACAATCGGTTTGACATTTTACATCGATCGACTCAGTTGATTGTTTCATAACATCCGGCTCGCTCTCTTTTGAATTAACTTTAAGTAATTATAAAGTGCTTAAACTTGTGTTGTGATACTTGTGATAGCTTAAATCATGGATTTACCTAATAAAAAAAAGCAATACGTTCAAAAATATCGAGATACGTGGGAAGCAGAATCTGAATTTAAGGGATGGCTGAAACCAGTTTTAGGAGACTCATCTAAAGCAAGATGTCAAATATGTGTCACAGAGTTTTATGCTAAATTGAGCGATATTAGAAAACATGCGAAAACTAATAAGCATAAACAAAAATTGGATTTTAAAAAAACACAGGCCACCTTACCCTTTAAAATTGCCCCGAAAACTTTAGTTAGAATATCAAGCAAAGCGGAAGGTGTCCTTTCTTTATTTATTGCAGAACATTGTTCAATTTTAGCTGTTGATCATTTAGGCGAACTGTGTAAAAAGGTGTTTGCCAGTGATGAGGGCGCGCAAAATATGCAATTACATCGTACAAAGTGTACTAACATAATAACTGAGGTATTGGCTCCATATTTTACACAATCATTGGTTGAAGATATAGGTGACCGAAAATATAGTGTACTTATTGATGAATCCACAGATGTTTCAGTTTCAAAAACACTGGGAATCGTTATACGGTATTATAGTGTAAAAAACCAAGCCATTATATCAGCATTTCTAAAGCTCGCTTTAGTAGAATCTGCTGATGCGAAAAATCTGACTGCTGTTCTTGTGAATTCCTTGAAAGATCTTAAAATCCCAATAGCGAATATGATAGGAATTGGTACAGATAATGCTTCTGTGATGGTGGGAGTAAATAATGGTCTCGTCGAAATACTCAAGAAAGAACATGGCTTAAAACATTTGATATTGATTCGCTGCGTTTGTCATTCTCTACAGCTTGCGGTTTCACACGCCTCCGTAAATACTTTACCTAGAAACATAGAGTTTCTTGTACGGGAAACCTACAATTGGTTCTCTATTTCGCCTAAAAGACAAGAAGAATATAAAAAGGTTTATGAGACTATAAATTATGGTAAACAGCCGCTAAAAATTTTGAAAGGCTGTGCAACCCGTTGGCTCTCAATTGAACCAGCTGTTTGTAGGATTCTGGAGCAGTGGGAAGAACTAAAGCTACATTTTTCATTTGCAATGGGTAATGATAATTGCTACACAGCTGATCTTTTGTACAGAATGTATTGTGATGACTCAAATCAACTTTACATGCTTTATCTTAAACAAACTTTAAAAGACGTACAAATAGCACTAAAAGCATTTGAAGGGGAAGACAATGATCCCACAAAACTATTAGATACTCTCGTCTTTCTCATGCAGTCACTTGGAAAAAACATAGTTTTTCCTACATTTGATTTGTTGACAACACCAGTTCCAAACGAATGTATGTACACGAATCCGCACCTTGGCTATACGTTTGAACAGAAAATGTTGGAGTCAAGTTTGTCTCAAGAAAATAAAATTTATTTAAAAAAGAGATGCATCGATTTTAGTCTGAAACTCATAAAGCAGATTCAGCAAAGACTACCAAGCAATGTCACTATCCTGAAAAAAATGTCAATGTTAAATGTTGAAGAAACATTAAAAGTGAATAAAACTAATGCATTAGCCGATGTAGCCAAAGAATTAGGTTTTAGTAACGAGTTTATAGACGGTATGCTGCAAGAATGGCATAATATTAACTTTATAAAGTGGAACAACACTACTAACACTGTTCGATTTTGGATTGAGGTTTTGCAGTATAAAAATGCCGTAGGAGAAAATCCTTTTTCTTTGATTTCACAATTGGCAATCACTATTTTAATACTACCACACTCAAACGCTGAAGTCGAGAGAGTCTTCAGTTCTATGAATATAATAAAAACAAAACAACGCAATAGATTGTCGTTAAAAACTATTAATGCGTTGATCCTGTTGAGAGATCAGTTAAAAAAACAAAATAAAAATTGTGCATCTTTTGAAATACCGTCGGAAGTGCTGCAGCTTATTGGAACGAACAAAAGCTATTCCTTTGCAACAACAAAAAACGTTGAACTGCAACATCCGCTTTTGAGCGACGTTCAACCCTCTACTTCTGCTGCGGCTGTATTAGATGAGCATGAGACTGAAGAATTATTTGACTTATTAAGTGACGATGATGAATATAACTGATTTAATATTTTTATTGTAATTTTGATTATTTTTATTTGTTTATTACAAATGCAAATGCACGTTTCCAAGTATTTTTAATTTATGTGATTGTTACAATGATTATACTCGTATAATTTAATTAAAAGTATTTTTTTATATGTAGGTACCTATGTTCTACACGATGTGTATTTGAATTATAATCTAATTACTTATGTACCTACTTTTAATTTTTTTCACACTCCTATCCCAACCTTTGACACTGCATGCCGGTGGCCTCTTCTGCCTCTCTCATAGAAAATCCTGCGTTCGCTTCTGGTGGAATTAGTTTTAGCGACTTTCTAGCGACTTTTGATGTTGAGTCTAGCGACTCGAACTTCTAGGGGTTGGCAACACTGGTGCATTGGCTGTTTGACATTTGTCTCTGCAAGTCACAGCTGCAAGTTTTCGTGGTGTTTTCGTTTGGTATCTCGTATCTAACTTTTTATTTTATAATTATGGCCGAAAATAAAAGCAAGCGGTGTCAAAACTTCACGTTTGATGAAAAGGATAAACTTGTAAAGTTAATGAATACTTTTAAAAATGTTATATTAAATAAAAAGACGGACGGTACAACAAATCAAGCGAAGAATGAAGCGTGGGTGAATTTGTGCACAAGATTTAATTCCACAGGAACCACGGCTAGGTAAGTTATTGATAAAAATAAACCTTTTGTTTAGTACTTGTTATAGTTGTTTTAAAGTTAAGTTGCCTTTACATCCAAACTTTATAGCTGTAAATAGTTATTGTCATAATAATTATTATCTTGATTTTGTATAATATGTAATGTGTGTATTAAAGAGTTTCTATTTACTTACTTGAATGAGAAGTTACCTACCTAATACCTGTATTCTCAGTACATTAACCTCTTTATCTACTATGATGAACGTACTGAATTGCCTTTTAATAACCTACCACTAACATTTCAGAAGTAAAGAATCTCTTATGAGAGTCTGGGAGAAAATGAAGACTGATGCGAAGTTATACAAAGCACTTAGCAAAAGCAGTCACAATGGCACAGGAGGTGGCCCATCGTGTGTTAAAACAGATATAATTTTGGAACAAGTCAGTGACTTGATGGGCCGAGCATGTAAAGGCATAACTGATGTCCAGGATTCAGATGCTGACAAAATTACTGAAGCCAGTTCATTACCAATACTTGGTGATGAGACAATGGAAATTTTAATATTTCAAAATGAAAATGTTAGTATTTATAGAATTCTCTATTATGTAGGTATATTAAAATTAGAAACTGACTGACAAATAGTCCAAATGCCGTAGTAGAAATCAGGGCAATAAGTTTGTTACATATTATAATATTATATAAAAGTAAGTTATGTATATTATTGTGTTTGTTTAAGGAGATGCTTTCGTTCCTACCAGTGTTTCAATAGAGGGCTAGACAGAGAAACACTACGGGGCGACAACAACAAAATGAACTAAACTGGCAGAATTTTCAATACAAAATTATTTCAGTCATTTGTATAGGTGTCGACCCACTGTATGATTATATTATATTTACACTGTGATTTTTATATTAGAATTTGTTTTGTTACAATTTTAATGCAATACAAGAAATGTGGAATATATTGAAAATAACGATGTTGGGAATAATAATGACATTGCTCCAACACTGTCATCACCAACATCGTCTCAATTTATAAAGTCCACATCTATATGGAAAAGACGACAACCAATAATTAAAGAAAATAAGGATAAAGCTGAAGTTGTTTCAACGTTATGTGGAGGTTTTAAAGATTTGAATTCTAAAAAGGCTACTGTGGAAGATTTAAAAATTAAAATGTTAGAAGAAGAAATAAAATTTAAAAGAGAATTGTACCAGCTGCAGTTAGAAACAGCTAGAAAGGAATTGGAAATTAAAACTGAAGTATGCAACCAATTAAAAGGTATGTGTTTTATTTATTGGTGAAATTACTATATATATTTTACATAATAAATTAGATATTTATAAATTATCAAAATATTGTGTAATTTGATTTCTGCGAAATCCATATGACAAAGAAGGTCTGTCAGAAAATGCCATATTATTTATTTGTCCCCTTGCAATTAGCTCTTCCAGGTTAGGCACATCATCATTATTCACAGGCTGTTGCTCATTTCTTAATATGCATATATTATGGAAGATACAGCAAGCTATAATGACATTAATGGCATTGTTTAAAGCTAAACGAATTCCAACCGCAAGTACTGGAAACCTTCGTTTTAGCACACCATATTGCCGTTCCACCACATTTCGTGTTCTAATGTGGGCCTCATTATATTTTCGTTCTCCACTTGTTGTAGGGTTGAGATAAGGTGTCAAGAGATGAGGCTAAAACAAAAATATTTTTAAGTATTATTGTATATAATAATGTAATTTATATGATGTAAAATATTTCTTTTCTATTCCAGGTCACACCTTAAACTTTCAAAATGTATCAGGAATACCTAAAAATGGTTCTGCAAATAACTAGTTTAAGTATACTTTTTTATTAATTAAATATCCCTTACCCATGCATAATCTTTTTATTAAATAAAAAGTATTTATTTAATCAATATTTTGAGCTCTGTGATGAATGATGTTATTCTTTTTGTTTGTAATTTTTGTAATTCTTTTTGTAACCTACTTAAGTTTTAATCAATATTATATTATTATTCTCCTTATTTTTTCTTTTACCTTTAAGGGATAGCCACTATCCCCAAGTAAATGGCTGTCTCCATACTCCCCTCTTTCAAACTTTCTATAAATATAGCTATTTTGGTAAATTGCTGAGTCATGTGTAGAGCCTGGCCAGCGTGCAACAACATCCTGGACCAACAACTTTGCTGATGCAATTGTTTGGACATTTATGGACATGTAGCCTTTCCTGTTTCTAAATAGTTCAGCATCATCTCCACCTATAGATATAAATAATACTTCATCAGCATTGCTTGATAGACTACTAAGAGAAATGAACTTTTAGTGAAAGGTAGTTAAATAAAAATGAGGAATTTACCTGGTGACTGAATTTTTACATGTGTGCAATCAATACAGCCTAGTACATTAGGGAATCTAGCTATATCATAGAAGTCTATCTTAACTCTGTCTTGGTCTCTGTTTGTATCAGGAAATATAATGAATTCTCGACGTAGGGAAACAATTGCTTGAGACACTCTCTTTACTATCCGGCTGGATGTAGCCAAACTAGTACCACCCATATCAGCCACAGCAAGCAAGTGATTGCCTGTGGCATAATATCTTAAAGCTATTAATAATTGATTTATGGGTGGTATGGAATTGTTCCTGTAAAAAAAATAAACAACTACAAATTAAAATAGGTAGAAACTTAAGTAAGATATACCTCGGGTATCAATTTACCATGGTAGGTAGGTTAGCACCAAACAGGTACCTACGGCCTACCTATACAGGCTCATTTTCTACTCAAAAGTTACTGTTAGGAGAGCAATAAAGTAACCTTTTATGCTTTTACCTTTATTTCGTAGCTAGGTATTATAGGTAATAAGTGAAAATGTAGGAACCCAGGAACCCACACTTTAACTTAAATATTTAATAAACTACAGTTTTAATAACATTATAGACTATTGTACATACATTAAAATTGATAACATATGTAAATAGTTAGGTACTCACCTATTATCAGAAAATTCCAAAATATGTTCAATTTTTTCCAACAAATATATCACTGTTGATTTAGATAACCTATACTTCGGAAAAAATCTATTTCATCGAAATCGTTGAAATAATTTGGTCGTTTTCGATATATTTTAGGTCTTCGACTACGATTTATATCAAATATAGTATCAGTTGTGTCTAAATTATCAAGAAAATCAAATAGATCACAGTCCATCTTGTCCTCTAAAAGTCGCTTTTACTTATGTGAAGGTTTATGGGACCAATAATCCATCTCATAAATTTAGGGGATCGTTTAGTCAGTAACGGACCCTTTAAAAGTGGTGAAACGGAAACTATCCCCTAACTGGCCCCTAAATATGCTAAGGGGTCCCATAAATCTTACGGGTCGTTGGTGAAAGTGGGCATGAGTCACCTAAAGTTTTAGTTGCAATCTTTGTCAAAATTTTAACCAATTTTCTCTTCTTTGATACTATTTTCTTCATCAATGTAACCTGTAATGAAATAAATAAAATAATTAAGTACTATATTCATATTTTGTAACTGAATGATAAACATAAAAATATTAATTTATTATTTAGAACTTTTGATGTGTTTGACTTGTTTTGACCATCCTATAAAAGCTCTTGCATTTAGAATAAGATTCATTATAGTTCTCATCGTAGTAATGTAATCATGTAGTTAAGGAAGTCAGTATTGCACTGAATTAATTTTAATACATTACTGTAATGTAATAGTTATTAAATGTCATTGAGATATATTTGTAGTTTTTAAAAAGCTTCACCACCACTACCGAAACTTAACTGGCGCAGCCAGCTCACAGCTTACAGCTGAGTTCAAGTACACTCAAATTGGTCTTGTCCACAGTTCCGGATATCCTCAAACCAAATAAGTTTGTTAAATCAGGAGCTGAAGAAACCTTCCTATTCAGACAAGAGGAGATCTACAGGTAGACGTGACAGTGAGCGGACTGTAAATAAAGCGTTTTACTATCCTGTCTCATTGTAGTTATTTCCTGTGGTTATTTCTTAATGGCTCTATGTTGTAACTTTTGAACTAAAATCGTTGAAAGTTATTTGATTTCTGCACAAAACTTGGCAGTTATTTATTAGGTAAATATTATTATAAAGAAAAATAAAATGGATTAAATAAAAATAATGTACTTAATTGTAATCTTAACACTTTCACTGTCCGGTTGGCAGACACAATAGTAAGACAATAGCAGTGCCCTATATGTAGTGCACGGGACAACAAAAGGGTTAAGAAGTGCTAAAATTATAGAAAGAGAATAATTAACAGAATATTTTTGTATACATGTATTGATTTTTAAATAAAAATGAAACAGAGAAGAGAAAAAAGTATGTCACTTTCTTCAAATTAGACCTAAGGATCTAAAAAAGCTTGATCAGCATGTTTGATGGCGATCAAAGTATTTCAAGTTTATTTAATATATTATAAGATTTTTTATGGCATCAACAAGATTATACATACAAACTAAATAATATTATATATAACAATTACCTTATAGGAAAAGATGCATCTCTTTTTAAGTGAAAGATTCTGGTGATTCTAGATCAAATTGAAACTGAATTAGAAAATATTCTTAGTGGTTTCAATACCTACTTAAAAAAAAATATAGTTAACCAACTTCACAATCCATACATAATAATTCACAAGGTTTTAGATATCCATTCGTTTTGCAAATAATTTTAATTAGATTTAACCACAACATCAAATTTAGAATTACATGTAGCAGAAAACAATTTCTATGGCCTTATAATATTAATATTGGTGTGTTACTTAAAGATGGCCATCTCAGTGTAAGTGATGCAAAGTGGATTATAATTAAGGTTTCAGATTTAAATGTTTCGCATGAGAATTTAATATTAATAGATACATGAACTTAAATACTTAAATAAGCATGTTAGAATTATTTTGACAAAAAAACCGTAGAGCATGTATGAAGGGAATAATGAAAGTGGACGAAGCAAAACAAGTATGTAAGGATCGTAGCAAGTGGAAAGAAGTGGTCTCTGCCTACCCCTACGGGAAAGAGGCGTGATTATATGTACATGTTTTTATAAATGTTATATCTTAATAAATATGCAGCATTGGAAATGACAAAAATTTAAATTTTTCAATTCTTGATATATTTGAGCGTAAACGATATGTTATTTTATTAATATTTATGATTTATTTTTACACAATTTCCAATCAATCTACACTAGATGGAATGAAATCGAAACTTCTGTAATCTTTAGTAAATTAGGAATTTTACTTGTAGATATTGAAGAATTGTTAAAATCAGTAGTTAACAAATAAATTTATATATAAGCTATAACACAACCCATAAGCTATAACAACTAAGTAAAAGTAGAATAATGTATAAAATTAAGGGAAGTCAAATAACATTTGTTTTAGAAATAAATACTATACAGCCATCCTGTTACCACTCCCTCTAAACTATAATTTTAATTCTTTAATACCCATACCTACAAGTAACAGGTTCTGAAATGGTCTCACTCACTCAGTCTTGCAATTACAAGGCCCTATGTTCCTGCACTATGACGACAAGTCAAAACTTGCACAAGTTGAAGATACTTGTATTAATGCTTTAATGAGATTCCCAGATAGTACGAGCTCCTGCCATACAGTACCAGCCGAAAAGCAGATCTATCATTTTGGACATTAGTGATTTAATAAATCTTGAATATTTTAATAACCTTAAAATAAGGAAAGTGAAATAAAATATACTGTGAAAAATTTATAAATGTAAAAAGTGTTGTGATCAGAAGATGTCAATCACATCATTATTTATTAAAACAAAACTAAAAATTTAATCATATTCAAGCGGCATCTTTAAAAATTTGTAATAATTTGTTTTTTTTTTTTTTTGCAAGCTTTGTTCTGGTGATATTTTTATAAGGATACATTTTCATAGCAAACATCTATATAAGTTTTTGTCTTTCAATAGTTACAGACACAATTTTATTAAGTGACTGCCACTTTATACTACGTAGTTATAATTAAAAATGGCTGGTGAAATAATCACAAAGTGATGAAATATTTTTTATTCAAAATGTATGGTTCAATACTTCATTACTGGAGTCCACTTGACCTACTTAGAAATCACAAATTTCAGCAGCCGAAACTTAAGTACCATGATAAGTAATAAAATTACTCGCCTGTTGCAGTCAGAGGCACGCCATGAGCTATTTAATCGTTAGTAAGCAAGCATGGATAAAAGTTCCTATCGAAGTTTTCTGCCTAGTCGAGAAACGTTCTTTGGGAAGTTCAATGATCTGGGAATTTGTGGATACTATGAAATACATCCACAAGTTTCTTAAATTATCGTTTTTAGGGAATCTGCACCAACACAGCACTTTTCGTATTACGTTAAGATAGTATACAATATGCACACGACCAGCACAAAAACAGAATATTTTTATTTTCACAAATAACGGAGGAAACTTTGCGTCCAAGATCTCAATGCAACATAAATGCGAGGAAATACACTTGCGCTAAACTCATAACTCAGGCTACAATACAATTAGATAAATAATGGCGGCAATCAATATCGATAATTTTGTCAATTTGATTTGACATTAATTAACACAATATGGCGTTTTAAAATGGCGTCCGTAGCCAGAGAACAAATTGCGACGGTAGCGCCAAGTTGCATAGAATGGAACTAAGCTGTCACGGGCCTGTTCCATTATAAGAACATTTAATCGATAGACTATACAAATTATATTTTTATTCCATGATGAACTCCGACATGCTTCCCTATTTTTCTCAAATATTGTTACTCTCTCTACTAATGTTTTGTTTTCTTTGCTTTCACATTTGACACTGTCATTTATTAGTTAGTTATTAGTCAGTAGATGTTTAGTCAGCTAGCTATATTCTACCTACTCAACTTTACTCTTTATAAACAAAAGAAAATTGCAGTCTTTTGGAAGAAATATATCTTTTGTTAATTGATATGTAAAATATTATACTTTGTATGCATACAGCGTAGGATTTAAACAACATAGTTGAACTTTATTATATAATATGTAACTGATATCTATGTAATACCTTTAATCCACGAAATAAATTATTTTAATTCTGATTCTGATCTATTGTTCATACATGTCGGTTTCTTAACAATTCGTTTAGCTTTCCTTTTGCCAGGAAAGTAAAAATATAATTAAAGTGAACAAGGGCTATGAGTTAGAAATAGTGCCTTTATTCAACCTCTACACTTGCTTAATAGAGGTCTCATATTATGTCTTCAATTAAGTTCCATAGTTAAACAACAAAAAACCCTCATATTATAGTTACGCCATCCGTAATGACCCTAGGTGCTACAAAGCTGTACTAATGATATAGATATTAATCATAATTATAGCTTTGATTATAGATTATGATTATAGATATTAATCACGCTGAAGCTGTGGAATAAAATTTTGAAGTACATTTTATTTTGGATACCTCCTATATAAGTGATTTTTTACCCGTCTATTCTACCGTTTGGGGTGTCGTTGGATAGGCCTTTTAAGAATAATGGGGTAAAAAAGCACAAACTAATTCACATTGCACATAAACTTGACATACTAATTTCGCTCAATTTTTAGTTAGTAGTTATTATAGACCTACAATTTCATTCGTGGTAGGTACTCTTGGTTTACGCGAAGGTAAATTACGGTCATGCAAGACGCACGATGCAAAAAGACAATGAAGAGCTTAACGTACGTAATTATTGATATAAATCAAGCCTACTTATTGTTGTTTTGCGTCGTGCATGAACTTGGCGGGACGTACAGCAAGATGGACCGTGAAAAAGACGCTTTAGTTACTAACCGCTTATAGATGAGCAGTATGCGTCTAGATGGATGTTAGTGTTAGTTCACTCCAAAAGTTTATATTGTGTTAATTATATATATTCTTTGGTTCACTTACTTACTATTGGGGGTTTTGGCGAGAACTTGACCGGCGGCGGATTGCTGCTCCTGTATTATTGTTTAAATAATGGTTTGATGTGAAATTTGATATGCAAAAGTGGTGCGATTTTGTGTATTAAGTGTCTGCGCATGTGAACTATTAGTGGAAACGGTGAAACAAGTGCTCTGATGGTGATGTGATTCTCAAGATAAGGTGTCTGTCTGCTTATGCGTCTTAAGATACCATCGCCAACTGCCAGTTGTCTGCTGGTTCAAGTTGCCGTCAAAATCTCCCAAGGGCTGCACAATGTGACGCATCAACATATTCTGAAGCATTGTACTATGAAGGATAATTATACATTGTAATTTCAGGCTCAGAAGGGCTACAACCCAGAGCCGTAAAGCCAGTTAAAAATCCTTCTGTAATTCATTCGTCACAATCATCTCTATACTCTATGACAATCATTCATTTTTTTTTTGGAGTTTATGGCCTGGTATCTAGACCTTTAGGCCAAGTCTTAAGTATTTTTATTCGGTTTATTGTAATTTCCCCACTCCTTCATAGTATACTGCTTCACAATATGTTGATGCGTCACATTGTGCAGTTCTTGGGAGATTTTGGCGGCAACTTGATCCAGCAGACAGCTGATAGTTGGCGATGGTATCTAAAGGTGCCTATGCAAACAAACAGCTTATCTTGAGAATCCATCACCATCAGAGCACTTGTTTCACTGTTTCCACTAATAGTTCACATGCGTAGACACTTAATACACAAAATCGCAACACTTTTACATATCAAAGTCCACTTCAAACCATTATTTAAACAATAATATAGGAGCAGCAAACCGCCGCCGGTCAATTTCCCGCCCTGACAATCATTCATCGTTCAAGTCTGTGTTGCCATTTATACAGATTTCTCCGTATTTATATAGATTCGGTGTGTAATACAGATTAGCACTGGATACAGATTTTTATACAGAGTTTTCTAACTCTACTGATTAAATTACCATAATATTGTACTTAAAACAGAATGAAGCAAATATATGACTATAGAGACTAGACCGCGTAACAGACTTATATATAGATTCTATTCTTTATGGTTTTTTTTCACAACGTAGTAAGTTAGTAGTATTGTGCATGCTCGGTCATTTTAAAGATCGCTCCGTACTAGTTCATTATGGACAGTGAACTAGTTCCTCCTATTAGTTCTATTAGCTCTATTCGGTCATCAATACTCCTAAGCAGTTTAAACTGTGTCTATCTGTTAAATCTGTATGGAATGGTTATCTCATTCAGTGAGTCTCAATCTCAGTCGTTCAATATCTGCTGGAATCGTAATGTTGTATTATTACTCTTACACACACACACTTGATAATTTCTTGGTCAAAATAAAAGTCCCATATCCATAACATGAGAAAATAAAAAGCATCCAAAGATGCAATTAATATTGGAACAGTAATAAAAAAAAGCACAAAAAATACTCGTCAAGAATTGTTATAACATAACTACAATTTTATTACATTTTTACGCGATCGCAATTGCCGGAACGAAGTCAAGCAAATGATGTTTGTTTGTATCTATTTATTAAATATTAAATTTAATAAATTAAATTATTTGCAAACAGCGAGTCTAGCATTTATTCGGATGATAAGCTAAATTAGACGTTATCGCATTGATATACCTAACAAGTATCTTTCTATAAAGTCTCATTTTAACGGATTTGATCAATGGTACGATTATAGGAATTCGTCGGCTCTTGTCCGAATGATATACCTACTCAATTCACCGACTATCTCGTTCGCTTGCTCTCCTATGTTCTCGCTCGCACGCGTGGTCTGCCGTATTGCGAGTTTAAGTGCACTAAAAGAGGTGTTAGACTGATTAACAATCAGAGCTCGGAAACGTTTCTTCTAGTACAGTGTTAAGATAAGTTTGCTATTCGTTCAACGTTCGCGAACTACACAAGGCAGTTTGTATGGCAGCTTTACAAGTGTCACTCGCTTTGCTCAGGAAATCCCCCAAAGATTTTTGCGTGCTGTCCTATCCAATGTAATTCACTCTCGCATTCGTCGTATCGTATATGCGTAGGTAATACGTAAATATTTTAAAAACAGATAAAAACTTTTATGCAATATTAATATTGATTGTGTTTTTATAAACAAAAGTGATGTTAAAGTTTAATCGGAATTGGATTGAAGGTTCTTCCTATAAGGCGTGGTTGAGACCTAGTAATAAAGATTATTACTTTGCTTTTTGTAAATTTTGTTACACTGATCTTTCAATTGGAATTGCGGTGAAGAATGATCTTTTCAGACACACGAAAACAAACAAACACATTAATTCTAATCCTGGTGGATCTAGCTCGCAAAAATTATTATTGATGATTCAGATCTCGAAACCTACTGGTCACTGCAATAAAACAAACTGTAAAGTCACTGCAGCCTGCGATCCTGCTAACTACAGTAATCAATTATATCCTACGCTGTCCAAATTTGATTTAGCAATCTTAAGTCTACCTCATTTCAGTGCCGCCGTAGAAAAGATCACATCCATAAATAAATATTTAATAAAGAGACAACAACACAATAGACAATACAGATACTATTGAAAGTCTAACTTAGTTTTTAGCTCTTTAGTCTATAGCCTAGAGGTTGATAATAAATTACTGTTAAAATTTAACAAAAATATGTAATAATAAAGTAATTATTAGTTCGTTTGATGTTTGAGTTTTAATATTTTGTTTCTTTAAACTAATTTTTCAATTTTGCTAATAAATATTTAGTGTATATTTTTTTAAATCGATAATCAAACCTTATCACGTTAGTATTTATCCCTTGATTTTCAAAAGAAGCATTGATGATGATGATTAATAATTCTATTTAACTTAAATCTGAATAGATTTAATACAGATTTTATCAGTTTCTACTACAGATGAAAGATTCGAGGCATCTGGCAACACTGGTTCCAGTAAAGAAAGTTTCCTCGCGCCTACCTTACCGCTCGCGACAAGTGAAAAAATAAAGTTTAATTACCAATTGCATAAAATTTAAACAATATTTTAAGTGAATCTTGATAAAGATATATGAAGACTCAAGACTTGTAATTGTTTTTAACATTAATTATTAACTTATATCGTGAAAATGGCCATGCAACCACACAGCAAGAAAAGAGTGTGCTATTACTACGACAGTAAGGTTTTTTTTTATTATTTAGATCTGCACATATTGATATTGAATATAATTTAAATTAATGTTTTGTTTTGTATTGTTAACATTTTTTATAATTATAACTTTACTATGTTTTATTTATGTTTAATTTGCCTATTCTCATCTTAACGTTTTTATTACATTGTGTATCAAATCATTTTATGGCGTCTGTATCACATTCTCGATTGCTATTGGTCACTAAACTGTTGTTCTCTTTTCGCACTTAGCGGTACAGGCTGTAATGTGTCAAGCCATGAAATGAATTGAGTAACATATTGGTAATAAGTTAAAATTGATTTCATGTTAAAAATAATATAATTTATAAACTTTTTTTAGGTGATATAGGCAATTATTATTATGGACAAGGGCATCCTATGAAACCACACCGCATACGCATGACACATAATTTATTGCTCAATTATGGCCTATACAGAAAAATGGAAATTTATGTATGTAATTAAAAAACAAATATTTTAAAAGTTTTCATATGTGCAGATTTTAATAACGTGATTTTGTATTATGCAGAGACCTCACAAAGCAACTGCTGATGAGATGACAAAGTTCCATTCCGATGACTATATACGTTTCCTTCGTTCAATTAGACCTGACAATATGACTGAATACAATAAACAAATGCAAAGATGTAAGTTGAGTGCATCTTACGTTATTTAATCTTTCTTCAAGTTTATTATTATAAATATCTTAACTATTATGTGTAAGCCTTAAGTTTGCACCATATAATTTACCTTAGTCCTGCACTAGGTACACTCTTGTATTGTTTCAGTTCTTTACCACATTTGTCCATGTAATGTTTCATTGTTGGATATGGGCCTTGATATAAATCAAAGATGAAAATTTTGACTTGAGATTTTAGTTGAGCATGTATGTTAGTTATTTAAATTAATATTTTTTTTAATTTAGTTAATGTTGGGGAAGATTGTCCTGTCTTCGATGGCCTGTATGAATTCTGCCAGTTATCAGCTGGAGGATCAGTTGCTGCTGCCGTTAAGTTAAATAAACAGGTTACTAATCACAATCATAATTTTTTTATAACTATATAATATAAATTAGAGGTCCTTAAAAGCAAGTAATAGTTCTAAGAGTTAAATTCAGATTTTCATTATTTGAGTGCCGACAATGACAACACACCCTCTCTATTTTTTGGATATTTATAAAACAAACTATTTCATACAACTTTATCCCCTATATCAATGACTTTTGTGCTTATCTTTTTAAAATAGAATGCTTCTTTTCCAGTAAAATGGGTCTCCGGTTCTCTACGCTCACCATATGAAACGCAGCACAGCATTAAGCTGCTATTTTACACGAGTATTCTGTGAGAGCGTGGTCCTTCCCCGGTCGAGCCAACCCATTCGTGCTACAACTATACTATTAATATAGCTGCAGCATGGCTCTACCATGTAAAAAATTTGAAAACTTCCTCCATGGTAACAGTTTTAGCCGAACTGATCGCGATCGGACCATATAAAAACCGCGACGAGCGGCGCCGGGACGTGCTAGGCTATTGTCGCCGCATCGTCCGGATGTTTGTGTGAATAAGAAAAATGTATTTCACACATGTTATTAATTCTACATATATTGTTAATTTAGATATTTTTTCAATAAAATCTTTTTTAGGGGTAAATTTACCACTTTTATATTACAAAAAGAATATAGGTTCTTGAAACAACAGTATTCTGAGATGTATGTTCAAGATAAAACAGATAAACATATACTTTTCCACTGCCATAAATTTATCTAAAAAAATGTTTGAGACAAGCATATTTGTATCTTGTCAGTGTCCTAAAATATTTTAACAAAAAAGCCAATGTGTTTACCAAATTATTGATTATGATTTACATTGTTTTATTGTAGATTTTTATTTGTTTTTTATACACAACACTTTTATATATTCCACAGGCATCTGAAATCTGCATTAACTGGGGTGGTGGTCTTCACCATGCTAAAAAATCTGAAGCATCAGGATTTTGCTATGTTAATGATATTGTTCTTGGTATCCTAGAACTGCTTAAGTATCACCAAAGAGTACTTTACATTGACATAGATGTACATCATGGTGATGGTGTTGAAGAAGCATTTTACACAACTGATAGGGTTATGACTGTGTCCTTCCACAAGTATGGAGAATATTTCCCTGGGACAGGTTAGTAAATTAGAAATATTTTATACCCTAAAGTAGTATTGCATAAAATTTGTTTTATGAGGACTGAACTATTTTCCTTAACCTTTAAGTATGAACACATTTTTTGTAACATGAGCATGGACATGGGGTCTGACAGACTCCTACATTGTTTGGAGGCATTTGATATCAATTGTGCAAAAAAATAAATGAAAAAGAATTTATAATGGATGCTTCAATTGTAAATAATAAGATTTTAAATAGATATGAGAAATATTTATTCCAAAATAGAAATAATTACAAACAAATCAAGAAAAGGCACTTTTTGATCTTAATTGACACTGAGATCACTTAAAGTTCAAAAATCAACATAATTATATTTTTTTCTTAAAATCTAATAAATTTTTAATTAACAAACAACAATGTTCATTCTGAATTGCAAACGAAAAAAAAACTGACATAGGATCAATTACCCTATAATTATTGGCATGCTTTGCACAGGGGGCTTGAGAATTGCAGACATATTTTGGTATTTTGCATGCTACACATTTGTAGGCAGTCTTTCTGTGGAGTTTTGGTGGGAATAGGTTACAAGGTTTTCTCTTCCCTTGCTCTTTTTCAGCTTTGGTATAATTTGGGGGCGCGTCACAACCTAAAACGCGCTTTATAGTGATTCTCAATTCTCTTGGTAATGTTTTGGTCGAGATATAACATCTTTGCATATGCGGTACTACTAGAGAATGAGATAATTTATTTATAAAGATACCTTGATCTATAGCCTTATTCTGATGTTGAGCATATAATATTATGCTAGTATTACGTCTATTTCACTGGACTATACAACCTCTTAAACTACTAAAAGCTACTGAGACATGCACCATGAAATCAGCAAGTGCGAAAGGTCTGAGAAACCCCATGTCCACAGTTAAAGGATAAAATTAAGCAGTATTTAAATCAGAATATTTGTTGTTAGGGAAATATTTATAAAGAACATCGGTCACGGCCCATACATGCTGTGACCTGGCTATAAAATATCGCGAACATGACTAGTGTATGGATTAATCCGTTCCCCCTGGGCACAATTTAAATCCTAAATTGAAAATATATTATTTAAAAGCAGAGGATCATAGAACGTTACACTTATGTATTTCGTCACTTTTGAGGTTACAATGTAGTCATGTCTGCAGCCATGACTACAACCTCAGCTAAAACAATTGATATGAAAACTATGCAGTAGTATATACTTAACTAAATAAGTCAAGTCAATGACTAAAACCACAAAAATGAATCGATAACCTTTCTAATCTTTTCACTGCTAAAAAGACACAGGTGCATTTACATTTCACGCTTTGACAGCTCTCCTGTCATAATACCACAGACTGCATAGATACACTCATAATATGTTCCCTTCTAAGTATTAGTGCATTCTATATTTACTGTCAACCTATCATTTGCAACTTATTTCTGAATATTTTCCATCTAAAAACGATATTATATAAAAATAAATAAAAAATCTACAATAAAATCTAGTATTTAAAGAAGTAAACGCATAATGGTAGTGTTACTTTAGTGTTATGATGAAACTTGTACCACAAATTAAAACAGAACGGGTTTAGATGTGTTCAAAACCTATAAGAAGTAGTAAATAATTAAGGTTTTTCATTACAAAGGTTAATTATTTTAACGGCTCCAATAAAATAAGTTGAACCCCGTAATTTAATATACACCTAAGTCACTATTTTTTGACGTATCAATCATTTTTATATTTTGGTCAGGTCATGTTTGACCGATGTTCTTTTTTAAATAAACATATAACATATTATATGATATATCATAACATATTTTATATATATATATTTATATTATTTTGTGCCGTTTTCTTCATCAGTCTGTAAGAGTCCACTGCTGGATATATGTCTCTCCCGTTGTAGGGTTAATTTGCGATAGTAGTAGAGGTAGAGTCAAGCTGCTGCTATATTATGGTTGTAGCACAAAGTCGACTCAATCAGGGTAGGACCACACTCTCACAGAATACCAGCGTAATGCTGCTGTGTTTCGTATGGTGTGAACCGGAGACCCTTTTTACTGGAAATGAGGCATTTCATCTTAGTCCTCTGGGGTGACAATGCATCTGCATTTTGAACCTCAATTGAGTATAAATGTAGATTTTTTTGAGCCACAACATCCGCTTTCCATCAGTGATATATGCATTTAGTGTATATGCTGTTGTTATTCTTAATAAAATAATAATAAAAATCAGGTTAACTATATGGTTATTTGTCACCATTATTGTATAAAAAAGTAAAACTTATTAGACAAATTCATGATTGCAGTATCAGACAATCCTTGAAACCAACCACTATTTCCATCACCAATCACGTTATTTACACCTGACAAACAAAATGGCTATGCTGCCATCTATCAGAAGCCTTAAGTTCTTTCTGATATATCCTTTAAACACCTTTTACAGCACCCAAGAATTTGATGAAATGTTTTGTGTGTGTTTGAGTGGGTCCTTGCCCTTGGATGGCTTAGATTCACAATTGGACCCTGTAGGTGGCGCTGTTGTCGAGATTAGAAATCACCCGTACGAAGTCGGCAGATCGCTAGTCTCAAATAAAAAAATAATTTAGGAGATACCATTTAAGATTTATACAAGGAAAAACTTATAACTAACTATTGTTATAACCATTTATGAATTATTGTCATTGTACGAGGGTGGATTGAAAAGTACTCGGCCTAACACAGATCCATTCAATTCTAAAAATCAAATCTACACACATTATTTAGTTCAGTTCAGACTAGTTCATTGTGTGAAGTTCGAAACGTGTGCGATAATTAGTTGTGATTTTATAAATTTATTAACAAAGTAATCGGACATAATTTCCGCGAATGGAGCAAATCGAGCAGCGTGCCGTCATTAAGTACCTCCATAAGAAGGGGCTATCATCAAAAGCCATCCATGATGACATGGTCAGTACATTAGGCGATTGTGCTCTGTCATATTCATCCGTCAAAAAATGGATAGCAGAATTTAAGCGTGGTAGAGAGAGTGTGAAAGATGAACCCCGCTCTGGAAGCCCTTCGACGTCAACTACTGACGAAAATATTAAAAAAGTACTTGATTTAATAATGGGAGACCGCAGATTAAAAATTAGAGAGATAGCCGAGATTATAGGCATCTCTTATGAACGAACTCAAAACATCATTGTCAACGAGTTGTGTTTCCACAAGGTGTCTGCGAGGTGGGTTCCGCGACTGCTTTCAGTTGAACAAAAAAGGACGCGATTGACTATTTCACGCGACTGTTTGGAGTTATTTGAAGCCGATGCAGATGATTTTTTGAATCGTTTTGTTACTATGGACGAAACATGGGTTCATTACTGTACACCGGAAACAAAACAACAATCAAAACAGTGGAGAAGACCTGGTTCACCACCCCCTAAAAAGGCTAAGTCGATTTTGTCGGCAAATAAGGTGATGGCTTCAGTATTCTGGGACTCGAAAGGTGTGATTATGATTGATTATCTTGAAAGGGGTCAGAATATAAACTCTGATTACTACTGCACCTTACTACGTCGTTTACGAGAGGAAATAAAAGAAAAACGTCGAGGAATGCTCAGAAGAAAAGTCCTGTTTCATCAAGATAACGCCCGTGTTCACACGTCAGTACAGTCAATGGCTGAAATTCACAACTGTGGCTTTGAACTGTTACCGCATCCGCCGTATTCACCTGATCTGGCACCATCAGACTTCTTTCTGTTCCCTAACCTAAAAAAGCACTTGGGAGGTCAAAGATTTTCGACAAACGACGAGGTCAAAGCAGCTGTAGACGCATATTTTGACTCTAAGGAAGAATCATTTTTTTTCAACGGTCTAAATGCTTGGAAGGGGAGGTGGCAAAAGTGTATTGAACTTGATGGTGATTATGTAGAAAAATAAAAATATAACTGATTTAGTATTTGTTTATTTTCTTGGTTAGGCCGAGTACTTTTCAATCCACCATCGTATATTCATAGGAGCTGTTGGTTTTCGAAATAAATTTAAAAAAACTATGTATTTAAAAATAACTTCATTTAAGGTGATCTGCGAGACATTGGCGCTGGAAAAGGTAAATACTATGCTGTAAATATCCCCCTGCGCGACGGCATGGATGATGAATCTTATGAATCAATTTTTGTTCCCATCATTTCCAAAGTAATGGAGACATTCCAGCCAAGCGCAGTGGTACTACAGTGCGGCGCTGACTCACTTACAGGTCAATATTTAGAATTTACTATGCTTATATTCATATTTTGAAAGTAAAATAAATGTGAAAATTTTTATTTTTTATTTCAAAAGTTATACTTAAATATTTATTTCAGGTGACAGACTGGGTTGCTTTAATTTGACAGTGCGTGGTCATGGACGTTGTGTAGAGTTAGTAAAAAGATTTGGCCTACCATTCCTTCTTGTTGGCGGCGGCGGGTAAGAATTATATTCATCTATTTAAAGTCCATTAAAGCATTTGCAAACTTTTGTACAGAACTTTTGAAGGCATTAAACAATATCACAACTTTGCATTTTTTATAGAAGGGTGGAAAATTATCACCCAGTTCACTTGATGATAAGTGAATGCTTTTATGTGACACCTACCTATCCTCAGTCAAGTTTCGACTAATATGCAAGCATCATTATCATGTCATACAGGTATCCTTTCTGAATGTGGATATTTCCTAGTTGAGCCGACCAATATGTGGTACAATAATTATATACTGCAGCTGCACTCCTACCATGTTATTTTATAATTGAAACAAAAAACAGTTATTATAAATTTTATTTGGTTTATTAGAAAAACTACTGAAACCCATTTATTTTCTTTTTATTCACATATGCCATCGATCACTAATAAAAAACTAGATGCACAATCCCATACAAAAGTTCTCTAAAAACTGTCGCCAAATGTTTTGACGTAATTGTAGTTGATATAAATATATATTAATGTAAATTCAACCTTAAGTTAAACGCCTAAAGTTGTATTGACAAAGCAACGTACAAAAAGCAATAAAATTTTACGACCGAAGCTCGTCGCTTGGACAAGGAGAGTGGAGTCGAACTGCACAATATTTTTTGTTACTGTAATTTTAATTTTACAATTTTTTTAAACTTGTTTTAAATAATTGGTCTACTTAATAAAGCATATTCTATACTATTCTATGGTGTATATGTGTAATGGTTATGTTTACATATCAATTAACAAAAGATATATTTCTTCCAAAAGACTGCAATTTTCTTTTGTTTATAAAGAGTAAAGTTGAGTAGGTAGAATATAGCTAGCTGACTAAACATCTACTGACTAATAACTAACTAATAAATGACAGTGTCAAATGTGAAAGCAAAGAAAACAAAACATTAGTAGAGAGAGTAACAATATTTGAGAAAAATAGGGAAGCATGTCGGAGTTCATCATGGAATAAAAATATAATTTGTATAGTCTATCGATTAAATGTTCTTATAATGGAACAGGCCCGTGACAGCTTAGTTCCATTCTATGCAACTTGGCGCTACCGTCGCAATTTGTTCTCTGGCTACGGACGCCATTTTAAAACGCCATATTGTGTTAATTAATGTCAAATCAAATTGACAAAATTATCGATATTGATTGCCGCCATTATTTATCTAATTGTATTGTAGCCTGAGTTATGAGTTTAGCGCAAGTGTATTTCCTCGCATTTATGTTGCATTGAGATCTTGGACGCAAAGTTTCCTCCGTTATTTGTGAAAATAAAAATATTCTGTTTTTGTGCTGGTCGTGTGCATATTGTATACTATCTTAACGTAATACGAAAAGTGCTGTGTTGGTGCAGATTCCCTAAAAACGATAATTTAAGAAACTTGTGGATGTATTTCATAGTATCCACAAATTCCCAGATCATTGAACTTCCCAAAGAACGTTTCTCGACTAGGCAGAAAACTTCGATAGGAACTTTTATCCATGCTTGCTTACTAACGATTAAATAGCTCATGGCGTGCCTCTGACTGCAACAGGCGAGTAATTTTATTACTTATCATGGTACTTAAGTTTCGGCTGCTGAAATTTGTGATTTCTAAGTAGGTCAAGTGGACTCCAGTAATGAAGTATTGAACCATACATTTTGAATAAAAAATATTTCATCACTTTGTGATTATTTCACCAGCCATTTTTAATTATAACTACGTAGTATAAAGTGGCAGTCACTTAATAAAATTGTGTCTGTAACTATTGAAAGACAAAAACTTATATAGATGTTTGCTATGAAAATGTATCCTTATAAAAATATCACCAGAACAAAGCTTGCAAAAAAAAAAAAAAACAAATTATTACAAATTTTTAAAGATGCCGCTTGAATATGATTAAATTTTTAGTTTTGTTTTAATAAATAATGATGTGATTGACATCTTCTGATCACAACACTTTTTACATTTATAAATTTTTCACAGTATATTTTATTTCACTTTCCTTATTTTAAGGTTATTAAAATATTCAAGATTTATTAAATCACTAATGTCCAAAATGATAGATCTGCTTTTCGGCTGGTACTGTATGGCAGGAGCTCGTACTATCTGGGAATCTCATTAAAGCATTAATACAAGTATCTTCAACTTGTGCAAGTTTTGACTTGTCGTCATAGTGCAGGAACATAGGGCCTTGTAATTGCAAGACTGAGTGAGTGAGACCATTTCAGAACCTGTTACTTGTAGGTATGGGTATTAAAGAATTAAAATTATAGTTTAGAGGGAGTGGTAACAGGATGGCTGTATAGTATTTATTTCTAAAACAAATGTTATTTGACTTCCCTTAATTTTATACATTATTCTACTTTTACTTAGTTGTTATAGCTTATGGGTTGTGTTATAGCTTATATATAAATTTATTTGTTAACTACTGATTTTAACAATTCTTCAATATCTACAAGTAAAATTCCTAATTTACTAAAGATTACAGAAGTTTCGATTTCATTCCATCTAGTGTAGATTGATTGGAAATTGTGTAAAAATAAATCATAAATATTAATAAAATAACATATCGTTTACGCTCAAATATATCAAGAATTGAAAAATTTAAATTTTTGTCATTTCCAATGCTGCATATTTATTAAGATATAACATTTATAAAAACATGTACATATAATCACGCCTCTTTCCCGTAGGGGTAGGCAGAGACCACTTCTTTCCACTTGCTACGATCCTTACATACTTGTTTTGCTTCGTCCACTTTCATTATTCCCTTCATACATGCTCTACGGTTTTTTTGTCAAAATAATTCTAACATGCTTATTTAAGTATTTAAGTTCATGTATCTATTAATATTAAATTCTCATGCGAAACATTTAAATCTGAAACCTTAATTATAATCCACTTTGCATCACTTACACTGAGATGGCCATCTTTAAGTAACACACCAATATTAATATTATAAGGCCATAGAAATTGTTTTCTGCTACATGTAATTCTAAATTTGATGTTGTGGTTAAATCTAATTAAAATTATTTGCAAAACGAATGGATATCTAAAACCTTGTGAATTATTATGTATGGATTGTGAAGTTGGTTAACTATATTTTTTTTTAAGTAGGTATTGAAACCACTAAGAATATTTTCTAATTCAGTTTCAATTTGATCTAGAATCACCAGAATCTTTCACTTAAAAAGAGATGCATCTTTTCCTATAAGGTAATTGTTATATATAATATTATTTAGTTTGTATGTATAATCTTGTTGATGCCATAAAAAATCTTATAATATATTAAATAAACTTGAAATACTTTGATCGCCATCAAACATGCTGATCAAGCTTTTTTAGATCCTTAGGTCTAATTTGAAGAAAGTGACATACTTTTTTCTCTTCTCTGTTTCATTTTTATTTAAAAATCAATACATGTATACAAAAATATTCTGTTAATTATTCTCTTTCTATAATTTTAGCACTTCTTAACCCTTTTGTTGTCCCGTGCACTACATATAGGGCACTGCTATTGTCTTACTATTGTGTCTGCCAACCGGACAGTGAAAGTGTTAAGATTACAATTAAGTACATTATTTTTATTTAATCCATTTTATTTTTCTTTATAATAATATTTACCTAATAAATAACTGCCAAGTTTTGTGCAGAAATCAAATAACTTTCAACGATTTTAGTTCAAAAGTTACAACATAGAGCCATTAAGAAATAACCACAGGAAATAACTACAATGAGACAGGATAGTAAAACGCTTTATTTACAGTCCGCTCACTGTCACGTCTACCTGTAGATCTCCTCTTGTCTGAATAGGAAGGTTTCTTCAGCTCCTGATTTAACAAACTTATTTGGTTTGAGGATATCCGGAACTGTGGACAAGACCAATTTGAGTGTACTTGAACTCAGCTGTAAGCTGTGAGCTGGCTGCGCCAGTTAAGTTTCGGTAGTGGTGGTGAAGCTTTTTAAAAACTACAAATATATCTCAATGACATTTAATAACTATTACATTACAGTAATGTATTAAAATTAATTCAGTGCAATACTGACTTCCTTAACTACATGATTACATTACTACGATGAGAACTATAATGAATCTTATTCTAAATGCAAGAGCTTTTATAGGATGGTCAAAACAAGTCAAACACATCAAAAGTTCTAAATAATAAATTAATATTTTTATGTTTATCATTCAGTTACAAAATATGAATATAGTACTTAATTATTTTATTTATTTCATTACAGGTTACATTGATGAAGAAAATAGTATCAAAGAAGAGAAAATTGGTTAAAATTTTGACAAAGATTGCAACTAAAACTTTAGGTGACTCATGCCCACTTTCACCAACGACCCGTAAGATTTATGGGACCCCTTAGCATATTTAGGGGCCAGTTAGGGGATAGTTTCCGTTTCACCACTTTTAAAGGGTCCGTTACTGACTAAACGATCCCCTAAATTTATGAGATGGATTATTGGTCCCATAAACCTTCACATAAGTAAAAGCGACTTTTAGAGGACAAGATGGACTGTGATCTATTTGATTTTCTTGATAATTTAGACACAACTGATACTATATTTGATATAAATCGTAGTCGAAGACCTAAAATATATCGAAAACGACCAAATTATTTCAACGATTTCGATGAAATAGATTTTTTCCGAAGTATAGGTTATCTAAATCAACAGTGATATATTTGTTGGAAAAAATTGAACATATTTTGGAATTTTCTGATAATAGGTGAGTACCTAACTATTTACATATGTTATCAATTTTAATGTATGTACAATAGTCTATAATGTTATTAAAACTGTAGTTTATTAAATATTTAAGTTAAAGTGTGGGTTCCTGGGTTCCTACATTTTCACTTATTACCTATAATACCTAGCTACGAAATAAAGGTAAAAGCATAAAAGGTTACTTTATTGCTCTCCTAACAGTAACTTTTGAGTAGAAAATGAGCCTGTATAGGTAGGCCGTAGGTACCTGTTTGGTGCTAACCTACCTACCATGGTAAATTGATACCCGAGGTATATCTTACTTAAGTTTCTACCTATTTTAATTTGTAGTTGTTTATTTTTTTTACAGGAACAATTCCATACCACCCATAAATCAATTATTAATAGCTTTAAGATATTATGCCACAGGCAATCACTTGCTTGCTGTGGCTGATATGGGTGGTACTAGTTTGGCTACATCCAGCCGGATAGTAAAGAGAGTGTCTCAAGCAATTGTTTCCCTACGTCGAGAATTCATTATATTTCCTGATACAAACAGAGACCAAGACAGAGTTAAGATAGACTTCTATGATATAGCTAGATTCCCTAATGTACTAGGCTGTATTGATTGCACACATGTAAAAATTCAGTCACCAGGTAAATTCCTCATTTTTATTTAACTACCTTTCACTAAAAGTTCATTTCTCTTAGTAGTCTATCAAGCAATGCTGATGAAGTATTATTTATATCTATAGGTGGAGATGATGCTGAACTATTTAGAAACAGGAAAGGCTACATGTCCATAAATGTCCAAACAATTGCATCAGCAAAGTTGTTGGTCCAGGATGTTGTTGCACGCTGGCCAGGCTCTACACATGACTCAGCAATTTACCAAAATAGCTATATTTATAGAAAGTTTGAAAGAGGGGAGTATGGAGACAGCCATTTACTTGGGGATAGTGGCTATCCCTTAAAGGTAAAAGAAAAAATAAGGAGAATAATAATATAATATTGATTAAAACTTAAGTAGGTTACAAAAAGAATTACAAAAATTACAAACAAAAAGAATAACATCATTCATCACAGAGCTCAAAATATTGATTAAATAAATACTTTTTATTTAATAAAAAGATTATGCATGGGTAAGGGATATTTAATTAATAAAAAAGTATACTTAAACTAGTTATTTGCAGAACCATTTTTAGGTATTCCTGATACATTTTGAAAGTTTAAGGTGTGACCTGGAATAGAAAAGAAATATTTTACATCATATAAATTACATTATTATATACAATAATACTTAAAAATATTTTTGTTTTAGCCTCATCTCTTGACACCTTATCTCAACCCTACAACAAGTGGAGAACGAAAATATAATGAGGCCCACATTAGAACACGAAATGTGGTGGAACGGCAATATGGTGTGCTAAAACGAAGGTTTCCAGTACTTGCGGTTGGAATTCGTTTAGCTTTAAACAATGCCATTAATGTCATTATAGCTTGCTGTATCTTCCATAATATATGCATATTAAGAAATGAGCAACAGCCTGTGAATAATGATGATGTGCCTAACCTGGAAGAGCTAATTGCAAGGGGACAAATAAATAATATGGCATTTTCTGACAGACCTTCTTTGTCATATGGATTTCGCAGAAATCAAATTACACAATATTTTGATAATTTATAAATATCTAATTTATTATGTAAAATATATATAGTAATTTCACCAATAAATAAAACACATACCTTTTAATTGGTTGCATACTTCAGTTTTAATTTCCAATTCCTTTCTAGCTGTTTCTAACTGCAGCTGGTACAATTCTCTTTTAAATTTTATTTCTTCTTCTAACATTTTAATTTTTAAATCTTCCACAGTAGCCTTTTTAGAATTCAAATCTTTAAAACCTCCACATAACGTTGAAACAACTTCAGCTTTATCCTTATTTTCTTTAATTATTGGTTGTCGTCTTTTCCATATAGATGTGGACTTTATAAATTGAGACGATGTTGGTGATGACAGTGTTGGAGCAATGTCATTATTATTCCCAACATCGTTATTTTCAATATATTCCACATTTCTTGTATTGCATTAAAATTGTAACAAAACAAATTCTAATATAAAAATCA